CAACAGTTTAGAAACAAGATCATCTTTTTTCCTGAATGATGTACCAATGAAGTCATGTAGATTGATTCTTAAACAAATCGTTCCATTTGATCTCTTCCCCAAATCTTCTTCCTAACCATTTTAAAGACTATATACCCAGACCACATCTGCCATTAGATCCTACAAAATTCAAGCCACAAACTATTTTCACAGCCTTCTCATTCTCTAACACAGCCTTCCAAGCAATCTAATTGCCACAACCACAAAGCTCTCTATGCACCACTCCTATCTTTAATTTGACAACCATGTGCTGCTCAGAAGGCTAGAGGTGATCTTTAGTCATTTGCCTGCAGGTTCTGTTCTGGGAACAAGACACACAAACTTAAGCATACATGCTCAAAAGTAGGACAATTTGAATAAATTCTAAAACTTAATAAAAGTTGGATTGACCCCAAGACAGACAGATTACCTATAAGCAAACCAGAAGACCGTGAGTTCTAGTCCCACCTTAGGCATGAAACCAACTGGGTGACCTTGGGCCAGTCACTTTCTCTCAGCCCAGCTCATCTCACAGAGTTGTTGCTGTGGGTAAATAGGAGGAGAAAGGAGCACCTGGAAAATCAGTTTGCTATGGCAGTTAAGACATCAGGCTAGAAATCAGAAGAATACTGGTCCTAGATTTTTCTCAGGCACAAAGCCAGCTGGGATTTGGGATTCAAATTTTTGGGATTCAAATTTTTTCACTACCGGTTCTGTGGGCATGGCTTGGTGACGTGGCAGGGGAAGGATACTGTAAAATCTCCAGTCAGAGGTGATATTTCCCAGTTCTCCAAACTACTCAAAATTTCCGCTACCGGTTCTCCAGAATTGCTGGGAGAATTTGAGTCAGCCCCTTTCTATCAGCTCTAGGAAGCAGGCAATGGTCTGAATCATTTCTGAAAAACCTTGCCCAAAAAACCCTGCAGGGACTTGTTCAGGTAGTCAGTAGGAGTGGAAAAAACAGACTTGAACACACTCCCCCTCACACAAAAATCCTGAGTTAAAACCGGAGTTTTAAGCCCACTTGTATAAGGTATAAGATCCTTGTGCTATATAGCAGAATTTGGGTTGTAACTGGTTCCATTTAGGCAACATAGTACAGTTTGTTGAGTAGTCAAGACTCACAGTAAAGTGGGTGCTTTTGGAGGCAAAAAATCTATTTTGCTCCCGATAAAGTGGATTGTTTACTGAAGTCAAAATTGAATTATAAACCTGGCCTTTTTTTCCCAAAAGCAAATGCAGCATCACCATCATCTAGCAACAGTAGCCTACAGTTTCCTTTTTGGCTTGGTTGTCAGTTGTCTGCCTTTGGCCACACTCAAGGAGAAAAAGAGACTAGGGGAGATGGGGGAAACCTAACCAAGGTTGAGGTCTGGAGATATTTCTGGAGCCAAGGGAACCTTAAATGAGAAGAACAAATTACTGAGAAATACAACTGCTCTACTCTTTCAAGGAACTTTTTGTAAGTGAATTATGATATCAACATAAATCACAGAAAATAATTCAGAAGAAATCAGGTCCAGCCTTCACTCCAAGGCAAGACGGAGGAAATTGACAAAGCAGTGGGGCAGGTAGGGGACCAAGTGCTTTAAGACTAGATCAGGGATCTTCAAAACTTGATAGCTTTAAGATTTGTGGACTTCAACTCCCAGATATCCTCCTCCAGTCCTGTTAGCTCAGGAATAAATGTAAACAGCTTCAAACTTGATTGCAGAAAGTATGACTTCAGCAACAGAGTGGTCAATGCCTCGAATACACTACCTGACTCTGTTATTACATCCTCTAACCTCCACTCCTTTAACCTCAAACTATCCACTATTGACCTCACCCCATTCCTAAGAGGTCTGTAAGGGGCATGCATAAGTGCCCTATCATGCCTACCACCCCTGTCCTATTGTCCCCATTTATTTGTACCTATTTCCTGTATTCTTACTCATGTTTATACTTATATCTATGATCTTGTAAGCGATTGACAAATCAAACAAATAAATAAAATTCTGGGAATTGAAATCCACAAGTCTTAAATTTGCCCAGTTTGAAGACCATTGGACTAGATCAACAAGTTAGTGATCTTTACAATTGCCACTGCCTTTCTGAAGGGTACACGGTTGCCCAAAGAACAGCTGCCAAACTTTCATTCAGATTTCACTTTTATCGAGAAACCCGTCCTTCTGTGGAATTATGACTACTATGCACCGGCCCCACATGAAATACAGAGGTCTTACAAAATAAATAAATAGAAGGCTAGAAGCCAGCAATGGATGATCTCTAAGCATCTACGCGCTGGAAGTCTTCACCACGCTCCTCTTCCTTGGCCTACCTGATAGAGTGAGGAAGCGACATCGGGCTGAGAGCCCACAGTGGCCACTTTGTCGCCGTGATAAGCACGGCCGAGAGCCGCTGCAGCCGCCCGCGGACAGCCAAAGAGACGGCATCTTAGGCCCGGTAACATCGCTGCTTGGGGGCGCCTACGGCGCCAAAGGCACGACTTCCCGGGGCTGGAAGTAAGCATGCGGCCCCTCCCACGCCGGAGCCAATGGAAAGAGGCGGCGAAACGCTGGTTCCTTTTCCTATCTCAGCCTTATTAAAGGGCCAGCCGAGGGAACCCTGGAAGCTCCCTTCCTCCTGAGACGGCGGGGTAAGGTTTAAAAAGTTAACGTTAAGAGGGAACTATGAGCTGCCGGATTAATCTCCCGGCCTGTTCGAGAAACGCTCACTGGCAGAATGGAAAGAGGTTTGGTTTTAAGAAAACGTACACTAAGGGTCTTCAAACTTGGCAAGTTTAAGACTTGTGGACTCCCAGAATTCCTGAGCTAACATGACTGGAAGAGCAATTCTGGAAGTTGAAGTCCACAAGTCTTAAAGCTGTTAAGTTTGAAGACCCCTGGTGATGAAAAGGAATGGGGAAATACTATTTTACACTAGAATTTTTAATTGTATATTTATTGAGCATTTTGATTTGTTCTGGTCTAAGGCTGTAGTAAAACTGATTGAGTGATTGAATGGGAAAGTAAATTACAGTTTGATTGACACCTGCTATCTAAACTAGGACTATTGTATCTGGGCTGTAAAATCAGGGTGACCAGCAAATGGCAGAATTTTCTATATATTTATTCAACATTACCCTGCTCCTTTCAAATAGCTTTAATCTAAATTAACTATCATCACTTCTTACCATGATAAATTATGGTTAATCAAACTACTTGAAATCCTCAATTTATGATTATTCCATTCCCTCTCATTGCTTCTTTATAAGCAAGCTGTGGTAATCCTGCACAAGATTATTGTTTCAGGTGAATTGTGCTGTTCTATTACAAAACCAGTAGTACCTGATAAATTATTAATAAAATGTATAGGTGCAATAAAGCCTGGGATTTCTATAACAATATACACTATTTAGTCCCAACTCATATAGAGAAAATGCCTTGAAGTCTTGCTCTATAGTCTTTTGGCAATGCTATGGAGTTACTGCTGTCTTATTTAAAACATTTTCTCAAGAAAAATGTAAGCTCCTACCATAAAGATATTTGAATGAGTCTGTGCAGAATGTAACAGTAAGTTAATGAAATTCTTAGCTTCTGTATCCACCTAGTAGTTTCAATAAATGTTTACTTGTTAAAGTACTTGATAAAATACTTGATAAATATGGATCAAATGAAATGTTAAATGGAAGATTGGCAATGAGGAATTGAATAGTGGTATGTACCACTTCCATTACTGCATGTTACATGAAACTATATTTCTGTGTAATGGTTGAATATGTAATATAGAAATAAGCATTAGTTTTAATCACTAATGTGTTATATTTGGATTGTACAATTTATCATTCATAGATTCAGTATGTGTTGCTTTCTAACATTTGTAGCTCCATAATCAATACTTGTGTTGCTTTTGCAGGTATTTGCAGACACATGACGAGCAGCAAAAATTTGAATTACCGTACCCAACACTCAATTTCCTAGCTAAGGTCAAACAAGGCAATGCTGTTTCTGTTCTTCTACTATAAACATGTGCCATGCATTTCCCCTAAGCAATAGTTCGATATTCACTAATTCAGTATTCATAGCATTTTTGTAGAACATAGCTACCACAAATAATGAAAATCAACTGTGTTTTGTTTTGTCCTTAATGGGACATATGTGTAAATTGGGATGATCAACAATGATTTCTCATCAATCCAACAAGCCTGAGAGATACTTAAGTTTCAAATGGTCTCACCACCACAAGATATAAACAAATTCTTTTTAACCTTGATGGTCTTAGTTTTGAAGAAGTAGATAAAGCAGTCTAAAGTGCAAGAGATTAAACTTGTCTTCTATAAACTCCAGTGAAATGAGGCTATCTGAAATGGGTGGAAATTCTGGTGATTCTGGAAACTGCATGGGATGCAATTTCAGTATAGTCTAGTCAAAAAGCATGAAAGGCAGACCCATGGGATGATGGTTCATGTATGCTTACTGGCTTTGAAGTGATCTGCCTACAACAATCTCTTTGGGATTCTCTCACTGGCACAAGGGATGGAAGGTCTTTCTTTGTCTTCTTGTATTCTTCAACATTCTGGAATATTCCTTCATTTCTGCATATACAGTAGTTGCTATCTTAGTTATATTCTTTAGTACTCATGAATATTTGTTACTATTGTCTTATGTTTACTACTTTGGAATAAAGCCATAAGTACTGATATTGTGTACTCACTGCTTCTGAATTCAAAAGATCCTGTGACTCAACTCTGCTGACCAGAGTCCACTTAAATGTGAATGAACAGATCAGACTTTCTTTTTCAAAAGTATTCACAGCCTAAAGAGTCCTTATTTTAAATTAGTACACATTTATAAGTGCCAATTCTGATTCTATAAATAATGTAAGAAGTAAAGATGAAATAGTTTCATATATAATAATGAACCTGTAAGTTGAACTATACAGTATATAATAATTTATAAATAGTTAATTTCCAATCTGTTTCTCACCGATAAACTTAAATATTTAAGAATGGAATAGTATAACAATGAAATACATATAATTTTGTTGAATTTTGTATGTTCCATCAAATGTTAAAGATAAACTTTGACAAATAATCCATATAAAATTTTATTCACATAATTTACATACATAATATGCCTGCTTTCTTTGAAACAGAAAGCTTTCATATGAACATTACATACCACTGAAAATATGTATCAAACTTTTCACAAATTTTTTTGCATATTAATGAAAATGAGATATTCTGTCAATTAACCAAGGTTTTTGTTTTTCTGTCATCCGTAATATTGATTTTGCTATAAAGGAACCTGTATATTTTAAAGAATTTTGTAAACATTGTCAAGAAAACATACTATAGTTTATAATAAAAATTAACAGGATCTTCTCATCCTTTCCACTTAGTAAGGAAAGGTAAGGCACCTTATAGCTTGGTTTCTTTAATAAGATGTTTGTGCTATACTTTTTTTCATTGAAATTTAAAATTATTACAGCAGATTATGGTGGATTTTTAAGGATATATTCTTCTATGTATTAATATGAACACACACTGCTCTATGGTGGAACTATTTGGGTTAATTGTTTACAAACAATATTTGAAATGTTTATTTGGATCCGTTTTATCTATATGTATATTTTATAAATAAGATTCTTGTTTTATTTAATTTCCTTACAACACTGCAAAATTAAAACAGGAAACTTGAAATTCAAATCAGTCAAATCAATAAAGAATTGTTAAGTCTCATAGAGTACTGGCTTTGTTACTAATAACTACAATACTGACTTGGATATCTTTAGAGAAGAGGCACTGAAATAAACTGATCTTTGGTCATGACAAATATTAATTAAATGGGTCTAATGTAATTTTTTTTAAAGTCTGTTTCCAACCAATTGTCTATGTCTGAATTTTTAAAAATGCTAATACCTTTCATATCAAATCCAATAATAATGGAATGTCTGCCTATAGTAATATTTGCACAGAATAAATCTAGGAAATAAAAGTAGCTTCTTAATTAGTTTAAATGGTATACATTAACAATTGCAGATGCAGACAATTATTTTCATAGATATTGCATAGATTAAGAAATATCTAGAGGAAAAAAATCCTCTCCAATCATTAATTGCAATGAAAAAGACACCTAAATTTAAGATCCAATAGCGGGGTTCCTTTTTTCACTCCAAATTATACTACAGATCAAAAAGAAAAAAAAATCAAAACCCAATGAGAAATGGAATATGTTTATAACTTGAGTTATTAAACTAGTAACTCACAGCAATAAGAAAAAAACAAAAAAAAATAAATTACATAAAGCAGAAAAGAACCATATTTATGATGTTGGGGCAACTCTTACTTCCTCATACATTCAATTTTAATTTCTCCTCTTCACTGGTATAATTGGGTTTTTAAATGGCAGCGTATCGTTTCATATAAAATTTAGCACTTTAGCACTAAATAATAGCGAGGTTATGTATAATAATAGCGAGGTTATGTATCTTCAGGATAAACAACACAATAATCTTTCTGTACATTGAACTTAAATATTTTTTCACATTTATGTCTGTACATTTAAAGACATTAAACATTATTTTTGAAACAATTCACATATATTCATTATAAAAATACATAAAAATAAGTTGACTTCAGATATTGTAACCTACAACGTACTAATTACGTTGAAAATTCCAGACTTTGTTTATTTTACAATGATAATATTCTTTCTATAAAGGTTTACTTCATAAAAAGAAGCAAATATTATTTACATAAGTACTGTGTTGAAGTGGCATATGATCATTCTGCTATTCCTCATTGCATTTCTAAATCTAAATATGCATGTTTAGAAAAATGTACCATAATTCAAACAAAAACACAGCTTTTCTGATCATGTACATCTTAATATTTAACATTTTTTCATCAGTTTCAAAAATATCACACTGCTCAGAATAAAAGAAAATATTTTTTGCATTCAGCAAGTTCCTATTAATATATTAATATAAATATATTAAACATAAATCATTTGTTTAATTAGGATATTACATTGCTTCTAGGATTATTAGAAACCAAGCATCCCATAATCTTTACGGTTATTCTGAATCATCCACCTCCATAAAAATATCACGAAAGAAATATTCTGAAATCCTTATTTGCTCTTCTTTTTCTTGTTCCTTAGCAGAACCCTCTTCCTCAGGTAAAACCTAAAAAAAAGAATAAACATTTTACAATCTGATGCCTGTTTAATAATTATGTAAAAGCATCATATGCAGGGTGTTTGAATTAGTCATGTAGAGGTACAGGCAATTCTGTTTGTGTTTTACAATATGATTTTCTGTACAAATCACCCTGCAATCGGGTGGGTTTCTACCGGTTCTGTCTACCTCTGTAGAACCGGTTGCTCCAAAGAGCAGCAGACATAGAACCAGTTCTATGTCTGCTGCTGTTATGGCCCACATGGCCGCCTGGGCTCTTACCTGACCTTTATTTCTTGCTTTTTCAACTGCAGCTGCTTTGCGCGACACAGCTACAGTTGAAAAAGCAGGAAAAAGGGATTTTCCAACCGCTGCGCACTTGCATGCAGTGCTGCTCAGCTGTCTGGGCAGCTCAGCAGGTTGTAAATTGCACTTGCGCGACTTGCGCATGCACGCATGACGCTAATAGACAGAACCAGTAGTTATACCAGTCGGATCCCATCCCTGCCTGCAATATCTATCTTATGAAATTAATCAAAGGTTTAATTCTGAGGGCTGAAAGCATTCTGAAAGCATTCTGTCTACTCTAAAGTCTTCTGGAGAATCTGATGCAGATAATAAGATAGCAAGAGAAAATAGGCAAGGATTGGTTCCCAACATTCTTGTACTATTAACAGATCATGTTTCTTATAGAGATATTCATCTATACCTGAACAGAGGAACAGCTTCCACTCTCATATTTTGAAGGTGACAGCATGGTTGTTGGTAATAAACTGTATTCCTGAATCTCTGTGTTGCTGTCTTTGGAAGTTGAAGCTGGACATTCGGGGGTATTTTCAAAAATCAGCGTACAGGTTTTCTGAGGAGGTTTGTTGTTCTCTTTATCAGCTATCTCTTCATCAGTATTAATTTTACAGATTAAAGGTAGAAATCCAAGTGACCTTTGATATGATATTAAAAACAATTAAAATTAATGTAACAAAATGTAGTAAATTAATAAAATTATCAAAGTATCCCCAGAAATCCCCTGAATTTATTGATTTGAGATCCCCTGAAATAGATTATTTAATAAATAAATTTATTTTCCATAGGCTTGGAACTATTACTTATGTTGATTAGTAGGGATATAACAAATTTAGAGGTTCTTTAGCAACATAAATAGATATTATGTATAAGTAAATGAGTGTATGTAGTATTATTGCTTTGATGGAGCAACAGTAAGAAAGCAAACGTCTTAGTGAAACAGTTTTAATTAACAAATTTGGCTGCCAAAATAGGAAATGTTGTAACTGATAAGAGAGTGTTCCTTTAAATAGAATAGTGGTTAATTTAGGCTGAGCAGTTATAATTTAATAGTTCTAGATTTCTCTCTTCATTACAAATTAAATAAAAGATTATAGGATCAGGAAATGATATAACGAAGTAAAAATGAAGCTTGAATCATACCTGGGTAATGATGTTTTTGGAAGGGCTTCTGTATTTCTAATTTGCTCTGATTGTTCAGAACTGTAAGCTACACAGAGTCTTTGTTCTTTCTTTGTTTCTGCTTTTCCTGCACCTGGCATTCTTGACACGAGTTCAGCTTCACTATATGTTTCACCAAGCAATGCAGTCCCTACATTCAGGGAAGACTGGAGCTGCTCTTTTTCCTCCACTTGTAGCTCTGTAAGTGACATTATTTCCTTTGAAAAATTACATTTTTCTGATATAATATAAAAGAGACAAGGCTTGCTTGCAAATAGTAAAGTAAAATAGTAAAGTAAATTTGCAAGAGATCTCCATTTTTTTAATTTTTACACACACACATACACACACATATGCGCACACACAAAGAAATGCAGATTAATTTGGAAGCTCTTGAAAATTAACTTCATTTTACTATTTGCAAGCAAGCTATGTCTCTTTTGTTCATATATAGATATTTTTCAAATTATGTAATCATTAGCATTCATCAATGCCCCAAGTCCCACTAGTTCTATGATGCCAAAGGTGGCTTTTCATATATTTTTCAAACACCATTCTCACCAATCCGTGCCAAGTTAAAACTTCCTGAAAGGGATGGAATAAAAGGTGTGTTTCAAAAGGCCCTGTTCTTTGAATGAGCACCATCACGTCCATATATAACATGACTGATATAAGCAATTGCCTAAGTGTCTATATAAACACGCACATGTGTAATGATTCTGCATGTGAAAACAAAAGGAACTTCACCTACCAGCATCTTTTCTTGATATATACTGTAATTTAAGAGAGGTCCCCTGCATTAAAAAAAAATGAATATTGGTAAACAATTTCCCTTTTAGTCACATGACTAAAAAGCTCAATACAGTAAGGTATTTTAATATGCTTCAGTTTGTGAAATGATGGTTTAGAGTTTAAGCTGCCTAATGATGCCTCCTGCAGCACCCTGCCAGCCAAAATGGGCTGTGGGGGGTCTGCACATGGCCACCCTGTGTCTCGTTTTCACCCTCCATGGGCTCCTACAGCACTCTGCCTCATGGCCCATTTTCAGGCTGGTTTTTCGGCTGTTTTGGGCCTGTTTCTCAGCCCATCTTGGCCCCATTTTTTCAGCCCATTTTGTGGCCATTTTTGGCCTGTTTTGGGCCCGCTTTTGGCCCATTTTTCGGCCTGTTTCATGTCCATTTTTCATCCAGGTTTAGGCCCGATTTAGGCCCAGTTTTGGCTGACAGAGTGCTGCAGGAGACCATGGAGGGTGAAAATGAGGCACGGTAGGACCACATATTGGTCATTTTAGCTGCCAGCGGCATTGCGGGCTAGTCCCTTGATATTTGTAGGCCAGCTCTGTGGCTGGATTTAAGCACCCTGCAGGTCGAATCTGGCCCGCAGGCCTTGAGTTTGACACTCCTGAGCCCATCCCTTCAGCAGAATCCACCAGTTTCTAATACATTAAAACCTACCTGATTTTCATATGTAATTGAGCAACAACCACATCTGCCACATGGCAAGTTTTTTCCACTAACTAAAGTTGACAGAGAGTTCAGTACTGAACAGCTAACTCAGTTCATTTGCTTTTCAAATGAATATAGTCGCCCCCTACCCCCCGTTCCATAACAATTCTGGCAACGTACAACATAAACAGCAAACATTATAATCAAGAAATATATGCCCACATAGCTGCAGCTGGAGGGTAGAGGATATTTTTAAAATACATTTGTTATTTTAGAATCAGGAAATGACATGGCTGATTATTTGCATAGCTTAAATTAACTGTCTATCAACTTCCCAGAAAACCAAGCATGCAAACTATTCCTTGAAGACATTTCACTTCTCATCTAAGAAGCTTCTTGAATGAGAAGCTAAAAGTCTTCAAGGAAAAACAAAAAGCCCAGTTGCCTATTAAAAAATCACCTTTGGGACAGCAATAACCTGGATGATTTGAGAAATCTCCATAGACACTTTGTATCTGCAGTTATCAATAGAATGCAAGACTAGAACCGTACAGAATCTTCCCACACTTTTCTCATGTGGTATTCAAAATTTTCTGGATCCAGTTGTAACTAACATATAATGGATTCTGAAATAAATATTTTGTGAATCCTTGAATCTAACCTTATCAGAGCTTTCCAGGTGTTCTTCTATAGGAACAGTATGCCTTATCTTCTCAGAGGCACTACTTCCTTCTATAGATATTGAAGACCTCTTCCAATTCTTCCTAGGGGTCAAACCCAAATCTACTAATTGTTCTGATGAAGATGGATGCAATTCTCTTTCTGTAGGGTCCGTCACAGAAGCAACACTTTCTTCAACTGAAGCTTGGATGGATTCAACACTGTATGGGTATATATACCATATATATGAATCTCAGATATTACTGAGATTTAAAGCTTACTTTACATTCAAAGTTTTATTAATAATAAAATATTAACTTCAGAAGTAATTCCACTGACACCAATGGGATTTTATTCTAAGATATGGCTGTTTGAATCGCTTTCTTTGTTATGAGTTTAGAGCAATAAGCAATCTTTGGAGACCACAGGCAGATACCGAATGTTATTACCATCTTGCGGATGCTTTCACAAAATAGCTACTATAGCAGGTATGATAATAAAATGCCCATTTATGCAGAACTAAATGGGCAAGATTATTACCTACTGCACTCTTACACTCTCAGAATGGTCTCTACAATATCTTTTCATTTTATAGGCTAGTTGGGACTCTCTGAAACAAAGCATGAAACTGCAGATATCCATTTCCCAAGAATATCTATGCATAGCAGATACACAGAAAGGCATTCTTAGAAATAAAGACTGTAAATACTGGTATTTTTCAGCACTGCAGGTTATTATTGTTTTATTCCAAGAAAGTAATCTAAAAAAAAAAAAACCTCTTAAAGATAGGAAACTAGGCAGGGATCATAAAAAGTAATCACAAGCACACTGATGATGGGCACTGCTTCTCCAAGGTGCAGAAAGTTATTTTGATCCTTTTTGCAGTAAATCTTATAACATGTTCATAAGGGATTGGGGGGGGGGGAGTCATTGTTTTTATTTTATTTTTATTTTCTATACTGTGTTTTTACTGTATGTAAGCCGCTAGAGTTGCTGTGAGTGATTAGGCAGCCATATAAATTTTCCAAATAAACATTTTTTCTAATTAATAATTGACAGTTCTAATGTATTTTGCTAACTTGCCTGCCTCGAGCTTGCATGGCCTCAAATAGAAGTACCGTATTTGCCGGCGTATAAGACGACTGGGCGTATAAGACGACCCCCCAACATTTCCACTCAAAATATAGAGCTTGTTATATACTCGCCGTATAAGACTACCCCCTCTTCCACACACCTTCCACTTTTGCACTTTTTTTTTTTTGACGCACTTTTCTGCTTTGGACAATTTTGAAATGAGCTAATCCAATTTTGAACCAAGAATATGCAAATAGCTATGGAGTTTAGAAATGAGTTTTAAAAATATTTTTCATTGCTTACCATTAAGCGTAAAATATGTTGTAAATAAAATGAGAACACAGGAAACGTTCTCTTCTCAATACAGCTGATCTCTCTCTCTCTCTCTCTCTCTCTCTCACACACACACACACCAAAAACCCGGACACTGAAAAGGCTGCCAAGGAACAGTATATTCAATGCCTTCTCTTTAATCAAGAAACAAGGAATTCCTTAGAATCTTTTTTTTTCCCCAAGTGGCCCTCTTTAAAAAAAAATATGGAGGTAACACTTTCATTCAAAAAGTCTTCCAGTATCTGGAGTCGCTCAGACATATTGAAGTGAGGCAGGAGAGTAAGTGAAATTTGAAATGATCCAGCTACCATTTTCTTCCCCTCCCGCCCGAAGGCCATTATCTCCACGTCAAAACGAACGAGGGGAGGCAAAGAAGCCAAACACGCTAAAAAGGATCTCTTTATTTTCCTACACAAGGTCACACCTACTTTTCCGCATTCAAAGGACAACCTCTCCTCACCACCACCACACACACACACACACCCCAATACCCGCAAACAATGTTCTGGGCATTAATCACCATTGCTACATTAACCTGGTAAATTTATACCCTGCCTCCCCCAGTGTTGCTTTGACGGCAGGATTTCACACAGCGGGGCGCTCGCTCGCTCTCTTCTCCGCTCTCCCACCGTTCGCACATGTTGGAAGCACCGTAAAACCTGATAACCCACCCGGGGGCTCCCCCATCCTTAACCTACAGCCGCCCGCATGCAAAACCTGCGTGCAAAAAGAAAAAAAGAAAAAGTACGCCGCACGTGAGGATCTTCGAATCCTCTCCTCCCCACACCGCTAAGGAAGGAAGAGGGGGAAAGGTTGCGCAGCGCGTGGCGAGTGACACCCGCCACACACACACACACACACCGCTCCCCCCCCAGCCTCCCTCCCGGCTGCAACTCAAGCTCGAAGTGGGAGTCGGAGTCCTCCCGGCGTATAAGACGACCCCCCCACTTGGAGGCATGTTTTTCAGGGCAAAAAAGTCGTCTTATACGCCGGCAAATACGGTATGTAATTCTGCATTCGTTTCTACAAAGAATATCCCCCAATATTTTCAAAAGTCACACAAGCCAGCTCTTTCTCAAAATATCTCTTTAAAACTTTTAAACATGCATGTACTCATTTATTCTGAATGGTGTTTTTCAAATTTGGCAAATTTTAGGATGTGTGGACTTTTAATTCCCAGAATTTTCCAGCTAGCACATTGCCTGGAGAATTCTGGGAGTTGAAGTTCAGAGATCTTAAAAGTTATCAAGTTTGAAAAACACTGATTCAGAATATACTGAAGCACAGGTAGTTCTCGACTTCATTTAGTGACTGTTTGAAGTTACAATAGTGCTGAAAAAGAGTAGCTTATGGCCATTTTCCACACAACCTTTGCAACATCCCCTTGGTTGTATGATCAAAATTAGGACACTTGGCAATTGGTATGTAATTATGATGGCTGCAGTATCTTGGGGTCATGTGATCATATTTTGGGACATTTGGGACAAGCAAAGTCAATGGGGAAGCCAGATTCATTTAACAACCATGTTACTGACTTACAACTGCAGTGATTCATTTAACAACTATCTTGCTTAGCAATGAAAATGTTGGGGTCAATTGTGCTTGTAAGTCAAGGACCATCTGTACATTGTTACATCTCTTCTCAAGAGAAAGACTATTAAGCTTAACACTTGCCTATGGCTTAGAGGCAAGGTCCCCTCTCTATTTTTGATTTGTCCCCAGAAAAATACCGACCAAGATTAAATTGGAATTAGGCCTTGGGCTTGGCAACATGTTGAACTAAAAAATGTTTCATGTTTGCTTCCCAAGGTTAAGGGGCTCTCATATGCAAACAAAGAACTCTTTATTGGATTGACCTTGAAATACGGACTTTCTTATTTATTCCATTTACATGGTTGCCCATTTCAGAAAGTGACTTTGGGTGACAACCAATCTTAAAATAAATTAAAAACAAATTCTCATCAGACATAGAAAAAAATAATACATATCACTGTTAATGGCTTTTAACACAATCAGGAGATGGGACCCTTCCACCCTCAGGGCCCCAGGCCAGGGCAAAGAAGCAGGTCTTTAGTATCTTGTGAAAGGCTAGCAGAGTCAGGGTCATCCTAATCACTGGGGGGTGAATATCAGAGCATAGGTGTTTAGAGCAAAAAAAGCATGTCTTCTAGGCCCCGACAATTAGCACTTCCTAAGCCAAAGCATGCTTATCTTGCTGGACTAGATTGGACAGATAGAAACACCGACTGCAACCAGTTTCTGAGAAAAGGAGAACCAGCATAACACAGTGCTTCCCTGAGAAAGATATCATGATTAATGGTATCAAAAGTCACTTGACAGATCAAGAAAACCAAGGATTATTAATCTTCAAGAAATAAGTAGAATTTTAGGCCAGGCAAGCAGTATCAAGAGAGGTTTTAGGCTCAAAATTCAATATTTAATCTTAAGAAGTTCCAAAAGTTAGCACCTGAATGCTAAAGATATATTAATATTTAATATTTACCTTTCATCTCTTGTCAATTCCAATGAGTCCATATTATCTGAGGTGAAAAGTATCGGTGGAGAAAGCAATTCCCCAGGACCATGTGCAAGCGCAGCAGGGATGTTATTACATTCCACAGAATCAGGCGAGATTTCCACCAGTGTTAGAATGAACTCTGGCTCTTCCTCTGTATCTACGAAATCTTTAATGTCCCCTCTTACTATCAAGAGTATCAATAAAAAACAGCAGAAAAAGTAAACCCTTGAGAACATAAACATTCAATTTTTCTTATTTACTTCTTATTTACTTCTAAATCATGTGTTTGCATTTCTGAGCAATGCAAATACAGTAAGGAAAAGTAGGCACGTTTAGCCAGATAACCCAAGTTATTCTGGTAAGCAAATATGGTTACCACTCCTGTAGATATTAACCTGCTTAAAACGTTCTGTGTCTCTCTGCTTTTCTCTCTCTCTTGCAATTCAAGTCCCCTGATCATTCTCATTATTCTATTTCTTGTACTTAAGTCTCACTTTATTCCTTCCTCCCAATAATTATTCTTTGCCCCTTCTATCAGATAATGGTAGTGTTAAGGAAATGTGCAAATGGGGTAAAAGCAAGGATACTTTATTTTAAATCCCAGAAATGTCGTCTAAGAAAAAATAAATTGTAAATAAAGGTTGTGTTCAGATAAAAAATTAAATATTAGATCATACCTGCACTCATCTCTGTCATTGCTGAAATGCTGGCATTCTTGTTTCCTTCAGACTAAGAATAAAAATGTCACAATGAGTATATCCAGCATGTCAAATAATTCTAGTGCCCAGAATATGTAACTCTAAAACTATTGCATATGTTTATCCATGCTGTCAGAAATCACATAAAGGTCTTCTTGTCCCAAGATTTCAAGGGAAAGAAACTGGAAAGCAGGGTAAAATCCTTTATAAATAAAACTATGAACAAACTCAAAAAATAGCAAGTGTCAGAACACAACAGAAATAATTTGTAAATGAAAATACATACAATACTATTAAGAATGGAATATAGCATATTTGCCTTTCATTTACAATATTTAGAAACAACTATAGCACAGAGCTCAGAAAAATAATATGCAATAATTTAAAAACAATATTCCTTCAATAGTTGTAATTACAGTAGCTTCATCTAAACCCAAATGTCTTTTTTCCTCTAACACTTTGTTCATTAATGGAAAGTCAAACCACTTTTTGGAAGAACAGTGATATGCTTTTTCAAAGCAAATGTAACTACAATCTTAAATCAGTGATAAAGAAATGCTTACTAAAAAGGCATAGCTTATTGGAAAGGAAGCATAAAAAGAAAAAGCAGTAAAAGTGTACAATTCAGAGTTTAATATTAGCAATCTATCCAATTTATACAAACACGCATAAAACTCTCAACAAGATTAACCAGAATATACTATGGTGAATTTAGAATATGGTTAAGCCAATTATGGTGAATGTTGTAAACTTACATAAAGTTATTTAGCAACAGTTTTCCTTTTCTACTACATTCCAAAATGTAGCTATATCCGTTAATTAACATGTCTTACTTGTGCAACTTCAGCTGTAGAAAACTGGTGTTCAGCAGACTCAAAAGCGTGAATGTTACTCTTTATGTTGAAATTATCTGGTGATTCAGATAAACAAGCCACTGCTTCTTGAGAACATTTTGGAGATGTTAATTCAGATGCAATTTCACTAATCTCTTGTATCAGGTTTCCACTTTTGCAAAAAAATGAAAATAGTTTTAATCTAGACGCTGTTTATCAATAAATTGTTCCAGAACCTTTTTATACCATACCAACTTAAAATTAATGGCATGAGGTTTACAATCATTCTGTATAAAAATGGCACTACACAATTTAAGAAATGTAAATAGTAAAGAACATGGTGCTTTATAAAGAGAAATGAATTCCAATTCTCTTTTAAGAAAATATTTTATTACTCTCATGCATCTGAAGTTATTTGAAGAAAATTAAGAGCATTTATATTTAAATATTAAAACTGAAGACTACTTTTTTTAGAAAACACAAAACATCATTTATTCCCATTACTATATTCCCAGTAATTTTGGAGAACTTCACCATGTACACATCTGTTTTGCCAAACAATTTACTACATATTACAAAACATCGCTCCAAACATTTTGAGAAATAACAAATATACAACTGTAGTGAGGTTGTATACCTTTCCATATTATTTTCCTGCATGGCGGGGCCAGCACTTTCAGAATGTAAATCATACTTTTCCATAGTGCTGATTTTAGCAAGCTGCTCATCCATTTGGAGATTCATTTCAACTTTCTGCTCTTCTCTAGATTTTTCTGAAATTTTGTCATCTGTTACTTTAAATATTAGAATACACAGGAAAAGTGTGTAAGCTATTGTTACTATTTAGATATAGGTGGAAAAATATATTTTGTATTGGAAGTGAACAAATACATAGATGAGGTGGACAAAAATACATTTTGCTTAGTTGTGAGATGTCCTTGGTATCTAAAATATAGACTGATCTGGAATTTTATAAGCACTTAGACTTCATCATTAATCTATTAGCAGTCAAGGAACAAATAAACCCAGAGCGGGATGGAGCCTATGAATGGCTTTTGAGGTGCTGTTGCCAGGGTGGGGTGGGTGGGTGAAGTGAGTATATTAATTTATTATATGACTCTTATTTTATTGTTTTTTTGTTTTTATATGAGGCTTTATATTCTTTAAGCCGCTTTGAATCGCTATGTGCGAATAGGCGGCAATATAAATTCCCTAAAAAATAAAATAAATTTTCAAATAGTTCAACAATACCAAAATTAATGAACTATGCATAGCCCATAGATTAAAAAAAATAACCCCTGCCTCCATTCTGCTGATAAACACTTGATCCACACAAACAAAAAGGCTTTATTTCAGAAATGTCTACAGTATAAACTTCAAAAAACTACCTTTTTGGATTTCTTTATATTCTTCCATATCTGAACTTAGATTTAGAGGTTTTTGAGAAACATTCCTAGTAGATACCGAGCCACTGTTAAGATTTGGTTTAGGTTTTGGGAGTCTGCATCTTGCTGGCCTGGGTGTTTTATTTCTTTTACACAAAGATACAGTACTGCAGACAAAAGTAAAAGTCATTAAAAGGATCACTCAGTGTTCTCAGTTCTTAATATATTATTAGGTAGAAGAGACAGCAAAGAACTTTAGAACTACTAAATCTGTGCTACCGAATCCCAGAGTAAAGAATTTAATATATCCCTTTATTGCCATCTAGTTGTAATCTGGATTGAACACTAAAGGAGGAATTTAGGAAAGACACTCAGGAATTGTTTTCACACTCCATATCAAATATTAACGTAAGCATATCATGATAGCTTTGAATATGAACTGGACAAAAGTTGCATTCTTAGCTGTTTATCATTCTGAATATAACACATGAAAATTAACATTAGAATTTAATTATCCTAATAATATTAATAATTAAAGCAGATTACTATCTTCCAAATGTTTTGTGTGGCAATCCCAGTTTGTTGGCAGTTCGCTATGCTGATTATTTGGATTAAGTTCCCCAAATACCTTACTATTGTCTTACAGTCACATTTTAATAGAAGCATAACTTATAAAAACCTTTAAAGTTTTCAGATTCAACATAAAAATATTCATAATGTAGACTTCTGCATTTTCTTGTACATGCACCAAAGATGAGACAATATAGCAAAAAAAAATTAATTTGGGATGGGGAAATTCGTTTTACACAATTAAGCATGTTATCAAAATAATATTTACGAATTAAAAAATAGGTAGGATTCCTAATTTTAAAAATGCTTGGGGTAATATAGCAAAACAAACCTGCAGACTCTAGTTTCCTGTGAAGATTTTTCCAAATCTGTGGTAGTTTTATTTGTCTTGTGTGGTGAAACTAGTAGTTTTTTTGAAGAGTCTGGAAGTAACACAACTGTCTTTTCTTCCAAGCATTCTTCAGAATATGATGGTTTACTGCTGTTACCTTCTGTATTATTTGTATTATTTGAATGAATTGGTTCATTTGCTGAAGAGACTGCCATTTGTACTTCATTTCCTGAATATAAAAAGAGCAGATAGATTCAGTTTATCTTTATTGAGACATTCTTGCATTTAAAGCAAATCAAATGAAATCATTAAAATGTTACTTGACTAATCAAAAGCATAGTTCTGCTTGCATAGCAGCAGGAAGAAATAAGAGACACAGCAGGAAAAAAGCATAACTTTTTTCTGGCTTTTGAAAGATGTTAATAATATTTTAGACTTTGCATAATTATTTTGTCTCCAGTGTCAAAATAGCAAGAAACTTTGCTGTGATTCAGTAGACTCTGGAGAGAAAAAAGTCTTCCATCCTTCAGAAGTTGGTAAAATGAGGACTCAGATTGTTGGGGGTAATATGCTGACTCTGTAAGCCACTCAGAGAGGGTATAAAAGCACTACGAAGTGGTATATAAGTCTAAGTGCTAATGCTATTATAGGCTATCCACTCTCATTTTATGTGATAATATTGACCATACCTTGGATATCAGTATGTAACTGAAACACTGGCTCTCTCATAGCAAGTAAAGTCATGGCTGCTTCAGCACTTCCATCATTAATTCCTAAAAAAGTTTCCAAATAAGTAGGCTTACAAATCAACAAACGCATCACATTTCTTTATATTATATGATTGAAAATATCATTATATTTTCAATGAAATTTACTCTTAGATAAGTATATATAGAATTACAACCTTAGTCATTAATGCTTGATTCACTGGAAGAAGGATTTAGGAATCTCCTTTCTCTATGCATACACACACACACACACACACACACAGACAGAGGCATGTGCACACACACACCATGTAAAGTAAAAAATATATTTTTAATTTAACAAATCTCCATTCAGTGGTTCATTGCATATTTTGGACAATGTACCTGTTTCTTTTGTTTGTTCTTCTTGTGTAATATCCTTTTGAAAGAGAGAAAAAAAAAGAAATAAACTACTACGCTTCTGGATAAGGTTTGAAAATAAATTAAATGAACCAACTCAAAAAATAATGCTATAACCAAATCAAGGTTTACCTAGAATGGGAGACTTTGAATGAATCCAATACAATCCTAGCACCTCTTTAATAATAGTAGTAGCGAACCACAATTCCCTGTTTTCTTTTAAGTACATTATAATTAAAGTTAGGAAATGAATGAAAGTTCTGCTTTCTGTGTAGCTGAACCTTGTTAAATCGATCAATCAATCAATCACAGCAGCAATTGCAAGATGAGAAACAGGAAACTAGACAACTTGCTTACGATAATAAACTGTTACAAAGATTAACTCTTTTGTGGGTAGTCCTCCGTTTACAATGGCAATTGGGATTGGTTGCAATTGTAACCCAAAGAGGTGCAGGCTGTTAAGTGGAAAGTGTCAGAAGCGTCAGTAAAGAACTCAAGGGTGCCATAGGGGAGTGGGGGAAGTGTCTAAGGGAGATGGGGAGGCTGGGGGAGGCCTTGGGAGATCAAACACAGTCTATGTCAGGGAACTCCAACCCCCAGGTCATGGCCTGGTACTAGGCCACAGCCCCTTTGGAACTGGCCCATGCAAGTGATGGGCAAGCATGTGAGTGCACGTAGCTCTATTTGCATGAGTGGTGAGCACGCACACTCGCTGCTTCTGTAAATGGAGCTGTGCACATATCCCCTCTCCCACTCCACTGGTTGACAAAGCCAGAAAAGCTGGAGACTCCTGGTCTATGTGAAGTTGGGGGTGTGGGTCCTGTGGCATGAGTACAGGAAGGCCAGGAAAAATTTTAAGAACAACCTGCAACCTTCCCTTACAGTTTTCCCACTGATTTTGCTTGTGGGAAGCTGGCAGGTAAGGTCAACAAATGATAATCATGCGACTGAAGGAGATTGCAATAATCATAAGCTCAAGGTGTTGCCAACTGCCCAAATCACAACCACATGATCATGAGGGCACTGGTATGGCCAGAACTTTGAGGACCAATCATAAATATTACTCGTTCAGTGCCACTGCAACTTCTAACAGTTGCTGAATGAGTTGTCAGTAAGCAAGGACAACAGTAAAGCTCATTCTGCCTTAGACATATTTATGTTTCATCTTAAAAGAAAAATTTGCATACTTACAACTGCTGGGATATACAATTTGCTATCATCTTGCATCACAGACTGAATAGACAGATTTAGATCATGAGAGATACATGGCTCATCTGCAACATTCTCATATATCTCCAACTGTCATGGAGAAAAACACAACTATTATTTTAATTGTCCAAAAGAATCTAGTTGATTCTCTTTTTATATGTTATAATGTTATACACTGAAATAGAAGTGCAAGCTATAAAATCCAAGTTTACTCAAAATACACTTACGCTGACAATTACATTTCCCAGCTTAATTATTAATGTTAAGGCTGTTTCCACATTAAAATGCATTTGCAATTATAACAATTTTACAAGACAACAATTATCCTTTAATCATTTGCACAAGTTTTATTTTCCTTTTGTTCACCTATGTTCTTAAAAGAGATAATTTGTTTAACCAATAGTCTGGGAGAGAAAGCCAATTCTTCAAAATGTGACGTTCCTTCATGCATCATTCTCTTTTCTTAGGGAAAAACTCAGTTCTGTTCATTAACTCTCCTCCATTCTGTATCTGATTTGTTCACTCATTCTAAAGGCAAAGTTGCCTTGAATCATGAGATGACAGCAAATAAATTTGATAAATAATAAATATATAAACTATGCATGTGGAGAGTTTATACATAGATGTTTCTATGATCTTTTTTGTCCCCATTATTGTATTTACTTATACTGGAATACACAAAATTATCATTTGGGAAATTGCCTTGCCTCTACATATTATTCTATTGTCTCAGTTTGAAAAGGCACATGTCTCTATCGGAGTATATAAAATTGAACACTCTATCTAATGTTATACTCTATAAAATGTTTTTAGGATAGATTTGGGAGGGTTATATGAATTGTTATAAAATAAACTAAGTAAATTATAGTTATCTCACAAAGTATGAATGAACAAAATTATAGTCAAATGATTGATTAATGGTGATACTAGGGTATTCAATTTTTGATTGATAATATGAGTTAGTATGCAATGTAACAGTAATTGAGACTATGAAATGGATGCACAAAAAATTTGTAAACCAACCGACACACTGCTTGTACATTTATGAAAGAAAGCTGGATGTTTTTATGTTTTGTTTTTGTTTGTCTTTAAAAACCAATAAAATTGTTTTCAAAAAAAAAATCGAACACTCTATTTAAAAGACATTTTTAACATTTCTGTATGCCCACATGATGACACAAATAATGAACTGGGGAAAGAAGTGCATAGATATACGTAGTTATTAATGTTCTAGTGATAATGACTAAACCACTAGTGTTCACAAACACATTTACATCTTTCATGTACTTTAAGTAGCTCTAAAAATCTTGTTTTTAAAGGGATCATTGGTAGGAAGTCAGTCTTAAGAAAGTCTGGCTCTCTAGCCTTGAGGAAGATGGCCTTCCTAACTTTCTAGCTGAATTTCATATCAGCTGGGCATGCCTATCAGCAGCTGCAGAGAAAGGAAAAGTTAAGTGCACCCAAGTGTGGTGAGGCAGGAAGAAGGCTAGGCCTCTTGGAAATGGGAAGAGAGGGAAGAGGCCTGCACACTGGTGGGTCTTTTGGGCATGGGTGGGAAGGGAGAGGAGGAATAGAGGAGGCCCACATGCTGTCTTACAACCCACAGCAAGTTTTTGCATGTGTGTGGGTGCTGAGTGGAAAACTTCCTCCACAAAGCATTCCTGCATGGTCGCTTAATGGTCACAAAGACTTGAGATTGTTGTTGGTGACTGAGGCAGTTGGGTGGAAGTCTTGCTTAACAACCAAAATTGCGGGCTCAATTTTTCTTCACCAACTTTTAACTAAAATTTAGCTGAGAAAGGTCTTATCAGATTTCACCTGACTCTAAAAGGAAATATTTTTGGGTTGGCATTTCTGATATACCTCTTCCATTGTTTCTTCAATGTGCATAGGAACAGGATTTGGAGATCGAAGCCCTTTAGGAACAAACACAGGGGCTTTATTTACTTCTTCCGGTGAAAAAAATTCAGCTTCATATTCTGATTCAGGTTCATCCTCATCCTCATCATCCTCCTCCTCTTGTGAAGAAGCTCTAAGGGTTACCAAATTAACTTTAGAATTTCCGTTTCTTGGTTTTTTACAAGGGGCTGGTTTTAAATTTCTGCCTTTGAAGACATGTTGTTTAACTTTTTGTTGGGGCTTCATTTTTCTACCATGGTCATTTTCACATTCAGAAGTGGAAGATGTTTTTGAATCATAGTTTTTGTTCCTCTGCTTTAATGTTCTTCCTGGTTGCTTCCTAGATCATAAAGAGATATTTTAATTAGTACGACTCACAAAAAAAGGAACAAAAGCAAATAGTTCTAAAGTAATTTTTAAAACATCAAAAATACAAGATAATAGGTATCTAGGTTTTAGACATTTCAGTTACTAAAGTAGATTTTTAAGAATTCTTATGTATAAATGTGTTTATATTGTGGTATTTCAAATTAAAATAAATATTGTAGACTGTCCTCCACCTAAGAATAACTTTTCAGAGGAAGAATACACTCAAACCATTCTACAAAGTCTTATGCACTTGCTGAGCAAATCTGAAACAAGGCCTATGATTAAAAAAAATGAATTAATTGGTCTGGGATTGCCTAAAAACTCTGATCTAGACTGACATATGCAGCCACCCAATGGACATGAACAGGCACAGGGTTAAATATTTGAAGGTAGCAAAAATCTCTAACTTCACACATACTTTAATAGTCTGAGCTCTCTGAATCCAACTATGGCAAACATAATGCGGTCCCTATCTTTAAGCTAGATGAAGATGCTCAGTGAGTAGCAACTCTGAAAAGGGCATAAGGATTGTTAAGAAACTACTAATGTAGTATGTCCTATAAGTTACTCCAGCTGTTGGAATACTAGGCCAGTTCTGGCCATCACATTTGAAAAGCAATGCAATAGATCTGAAAAAAACTATAGAAGAAAACAACCAAAAGACTTGGGGGTTCAAGCGCCAACCTTTGGGAGGGAACTAAAATATATGGAACTGCTTAGCTCAAAGGAAAGGTGACTAGAAGGATGTGGGACATAATCAAAACGTATTAAAATATCTGGCACAGACGAAATGGATAAGGAGAGTATTTAGAGCAGGCTATTTTTTAAACCAATAATTGACCATAATTGACCTGTAACATTTGTTACGATAGGTCATGGTGATGGCCACTAATTTGGGTGATTTTAAAAGATATTTGATACATTGATGGAGGACAAGGGTATCAAGTACTATTTGTCTTGAAATTTCAATGTCTCAATTTCAATTTTTGGGTTGTGGGCAAAATGTCTATACACACCAGTTGCAGAAAAGTAATAGCAGGAGAGAAGTATGCCTTCGTCTTTAGCTTGCAAGTACCACAGAACCATCCACAGTCATCCTGAACAGAAGCATCTGTGGTCATTTTGAAGTCAGTAGACACCAAAATCAAATTCAATGAATACAATGAATTTGTATGTATACTTGTATTCAGATACTTGGAGTAAGATGGGCTTTTGATCCAGAAGAGCTAATGTTATGTTCTTAAGGTGGAGATATATTCAGGTGTATGTTTGCAAGCATTTGATGAATAATCACAATGAGTAATAACTGAATTAAGCTCTTGCTATACCTAGACTTGCTTTGATCTGGTTTGATAAGAATCAGCTGAGTAAGAGCCAATGAATTACAACTGCAATATAAAACTCTCAGAGGTATTTGGGCTTGAAAGAAGTGTTTGCCATTTGTATTTGTGTTGTGAAACCTAACTCCTCTCACGTGTGTCTATATTTCCTGGGTCAAGTTTTGCTCTCTTTCAGTTTTCATAGGACTTGTTTTGAATTTTCTATTGTTCTTCTTACAATTTTTCTGACTATAAGACACCTTCCTTAGAATCTGATCCTGAATGCTTTAAAGCCTTCTCATCCCCACACAAGACATACTACTACTCAAGGTGTACTTTTACCCTTTTAAGTTTTCCACTTCTTTCTCTTGGACAGAAAGCAGCTTAGGGATTTCTTTTTTAATTTGTGTTTCATTCTCCGAAGGCTGGTCTGATGAACCATGTTTCCCAAAGTGCCTACTTCTTGTTGAGGATACTAATTCGATGTTTTCTGTACATTTTTTTTCTTTCCTTGATTCAGAAGTTGATGCAGATTCCACCAAATGTACCGGGCTGCCCTGGAAAGAGTAGAAACACATGCCATATTAATCAGGGCACTTATACAAAGCTGTCAAAATATGACATGTTTATCATGATGTCATTGCAGAAATGATATAATTAAACCATGATGTCCTAAGATTGGAGACAAGCATATAAATAATGTGGGATGTCCTCATGCGTATACCATTATTTGACCTTGTGAACACCTATAAATTCAATACAGGTAGTCCTCGACTCATAACAGTTCATTTAGTGACTGTTCAAAGTTGCATCAGCACTGAAAAAATGACTTATGACCATTTTTCAAACTTACGACTATTGCAGCATCCTCATGGTCATGTGACCAAGATTTGGATGCTTGGCAATTGCTTCATATTTATGACAGATGCAGTGACCCCTGATCATGTGAACACCTTTTGTGACCTTCTGACAAGCAAAGTCAAATGGGGAAGCCAGATTCACTTAATAACAACCAGGTTATTAACTTAACAAATGCAATGATTCACCAAAAAACTGTGGCAAGAAAAGTTGTAAAATGGGGCAAAACTCACTTAACAAATGTCTCATTCAGCAACATAAATTTTGGACTCAATTATGGTTGTAAGTCTAGGATTCCCTGTACATATTTATTTTTCCAAATATTTTTAAGGAGCATCATTTGAATCTTTCAGTGGGCTGCATTGCACAGCATATTTTCTTCTGCTGCCTTCCTATGCAAGTTTGCAGCCCTAAAAATCAATTGCAGTAAAGGAAGGCTGCATCTGTATACAAGGGAGAGTTATTTGTAAAAGGAAATCAGAAAAATAGAAGTGCTTTCCACTAACACCAGAAAATCAGGATAATCCAATATATATTTTACTTAAATACACTCCATGCACATATACATATGTATGCTATTTAAATACATTTTTATAATATTTCTTGTATGAAATCTGCTCATAAGTTTCTAAGAAATAAAAAAGATTCAACAAGTATTTTGTATTGGCAAATGCTCATAAAAAACATTAATCAAGTGATGATTTAGGATGATTAATCTATGCTTACCCTTAACTGAGCTGTTTTTCCACATTTGCTGCCATACAAAGTATCACATTCTGCATCTCTTCCTGTATCTCCTTTGCTATTTTCTCTTTCTAAAGAGGATTCTGTGTTTTTAGGAACTTGTGCCATATTTGGCTTTACCTTTTGCAGATGACCTATCACGAGCAGAGCTGTATTTTTGTTTTCTGAATGATTTATTTCTTGAGGGTCAAAAGTATCACTAAAAACAAAAGTAACCAAAACTATTGAGATCATACAGGTTTTGAAACTGAAAACATATTTGTAACTATATGTTGTATAAATCATACTTTAAAAAAAGAAAACTAAAACCAGTCAAATTCACTCAGTTGATTCAAAAAAGACAAGGAAAAAGCAAGAAAAATTTGGAGTGGAAAATTAATGAAAGTATTATGCCACATTATATAGAAAATAAAGATTATACTAGGATCTCAGGAAAATTTTCATTTATTTATTGAAAACTCTTTTACCTTCCAAGAGCATCCATTTTTTTTCTTTTAACATCATCTTGGTTTTTCAGAAGACCACATTCCAATGATTTCTCAGAAGGATGTTTCTTCTGATCAATCCATCTTTTTGATGAGCTTTCAATAGATTCTGATCCTTCTTTTCTATCTAAATTATCTGGGGATGCCTGGACAATGACTTCATCCTTGATGTTGAAGAAAATTTGTGCATGCCAATTACTTATCAGAGTATAGCTAAAACACTTTCACATTAAATTCAGAATTAAGAATATTGACATTTCCTGTTTTGATAGTTGGCATAATTTCTCCAGATTTGTAGTTTATATCCCATGTAAATTGGTAAGAAGTTGTTACAACGGTGATGTACCTAATGATATCTATAATTTTTAGTTTACTAAAAATCTAAGAATACTTTAATTGAAACTCAAATATTAACTGCATGATTTCTTTTTATAAGATGTGAGACAGCTATGGATGCATCTGGGGATCACAATAATTTATGGTTTAGCGAGACTTAAATAACTGTGGCCTCCATACAGGCTCACAATTCCACTATCCCATAGCAACGAGGAGCACAAAAGCTTTCAATCTCACTACATTTAGGAACTCCATTTAGCACTATTGGCTGAATGAGGGAAGATTTTCAAACCTTTACTATAGTTAATTTCAAATGTACCACTTTAATCCATGCTTTATATTTTATTTTATAAATATATCTTAAATATATAAAATATTTAATAAAGATTAAAGAAGTATATCATTTTTATTTATTACATACATACATACATACATTAAAAAAAAAAACACACACACACACACAATTAAAACTCTAGCAGCTGCCTTTTCAATATACCTGCTTCTTCATCAGATAAGATGGAAAAATGAAAACATAGGATATGATATAAAGAAATATTTGTTAAATAGTACTGAAAAAGTTTCAATAAATTGAGTAGATAGCTAACCTCTGAAATTAGATATAGATCATCTTTCTTGCTAATGTCCATCTCTTTTACTTCTTCCACAATTGGAACACTAATATCTTCTGACACAGGTACTTCGTTTTTGTAATTAGTCCTTCCAACATTAAATTTGGCTCTCTGGAATCGCCCTCTTACCAACTGAGCAGGCTTGATTGTAGATGACTTATCTCCTTGGAAATTGGATTTCTCTCTATCAACCAAAGATGGAAAGTACCAAATTGAGTTAACAGATCTTTAAAACACGCATTTGTATGTTGATATGAAATTAATTCTTAAGAATTCTTTCTTCTGCTTGCCTGCTTGTCAAATGTTAATTAGAAACTCTCCTTCAAAATAACGGAAGATGAGCTGCATTTCTGCTTTTCCATGGGACTTTGGGACCCAATGCCATTCACTATTTGTTATATTTTATTGTATATTCTTATTGTGTGAGCTACCAAGAATACTAAACTTGTAACAGGATAACAGCTTGATAAATAAATCATTACTTTACAGCATGCTATGTAAATGCAGGTTATGATCACGTTAGGTACTAAAACAAGGTGAGTTTTTATTGTTGAGGAACAATTAATTATGAACACTTGCCTTCAGTATTTTATTCTGAAATAATGAAATGTTTTCTCTTCAGCTATTATCCTGGGGAAGATTCAATAAGATAGCCCACCAAATAAAATACAACTATTCCCTGCTTGCCTTTCTCAAAGAGAAAGAGAATAGCTAATCCAACAAATTAAATCCAAAATTGAAAGGCAAATTTTAAATTTCCAAATTAGCATATGTGTAAAAAATGTAAGAAATTAACAAATCCTAAAACTTTATCGATCTGGTATATGATTCATATGTATGTATGTACACTGTGTACATATGTACACAGCCTCATCTCCTAAAATATGCCCCTTTTTCTGTTTTCCTTCTCCATGTACTTGTTTCTAATCACTAAAGGGTTTCTATCACTTTCTATTCTACCTCAGTGCTCCTGTAAATTGTTCATGAAGGTCAGAAAAGGAAAGAAAAAAAATCTGCATATGAAAACACCACATGATTGGGAAGCAAGGGGAGTAGTGCCATATTTTTACAAAGTGTAAGTTCATAAAAGCAACATCTAATTATTTTAATTATTTGTTTAGATTTACTAGCATAGATCATAAAGCAAAAGTCACATTTGAGTACATACCTGAGATGTAGATTGGAGCTATTCTGACCAGTACTAGGCACTAGAGAATCTTTCTGAATTACTTTCTCGGCGTCTTCTAGGCTACTCTCCAAGTTTTCATCAGGTAAAATTTTATCGTTGATCTGAGTCTGAAAGTTAAAAGTTTCAATCTTAAACTGAGAAATAGTCTTAGCAGTGATATGCTGAATATCAAGGAATAATTGTGGCAATACAGAAACCCCATTTATATTGAATTCCAAACATTCAAGATTTCTATGTAAAATAAAAACAATCCAAACCAAATTTTCTTTGACTTAATACCATTGATGGAGTTTTGGTAGGTTCAGATTTTTGTAGTTCCAGATTTCCAGTGGTTGTTAATCCATTTCCTTCCAGAGATCTCTTTTCTTTCCTTCCAATTATCCCTCCTATGTTAGGTTTGGGTCTCTGGAATCTGCCTCTGAGAAATGGTGTTGATCGAGTATCGCTATGCTTGCTTTCTTCCTGTGACCTCTGTTTGCTAGAGGAAAATCAAAATGAACAGTCATGGCAATTAAAGTATTATTGACAGAATTTCTAACAGATAATATACATATGATCACTAAACACGGTAAGGAAATGTAAGGAAACATATGTCCATTTTTGTATTGATTTTTAATTGGCACGCTGATATCTAATAGAACAGTAAATTTTATTTATTTTTTAGTTGTTATTGGAATTCTCACCTAATCTTCAGTTTGGATTTAAACAAAGCACATGTAGTAAGGCTGATACTTTGAAAATGCTTTAGAAAAAATATTTTCAACTTCCGGCTTGAGCTTCTTCGGCGACGGACCGAAATCTGTGATCGTGTGCAGTTTCGATGCGTGCTCGCCGCTGGACTGCCCCGAGCTGGCTGGTTTGGGGGCTAAGCCACCCCGTAGAGGTGGTGAAGAAGGGGGAGACCACCAGCAGGGTCGAGGAGAGCTGCATTTCTCCTCCCCAGCTGGCCATTACTCCCTTTCTCAAAGGCGGTTGCAGCGGTGGTCAGAAATGGCCACCTCAAAGAAGAACTTGACTGGAAAAGAATGTGCAGGAGGAAGGTAAGAAGACAACGTTTTGGCTGACCGGGTCGAACAGAAAAAGCAACAACATAAGGTATCCTGGAATTGGAACTATAAAGAATATCATTGCTCCTAAAGAAGATTTTGAAGCGGCGAATGAGAGAGGGAAGGGAAAGGATTTGTTTTCTTTTTCTTTCCTTCCCCATATTGACAACTAAGAGATTTAAGTAAAAAACTGATAAAAATCCACTTTGACATTAACAGGCATTTAAGCTGAAAATAAAATGTCAAAGGGATAATAAAGACTTCTGGATTTTCAAAAACCTTTGAAAGAAGGAGATAAAAGGAAAAAACAAAAGGGTGGGATCTGGAAAAATGGAGGGGACCACCTGGAAGTAAAAGGAATTAACAGTGAAACTTTAACAAGATTCATAAAAGATACATTCCAACTGAAACTTTGTAACAAGATAATAGAACCCCAGGAAAAGAAAGTGGAAAAAAGAAGAAAGAAGAAACAGCTTTGGATTATTTGGATTACTTGGTAATTTTTGGATTTTTGGTTATTGGCTCTAAAGGACTAAAATCAATTGGGTGGTTGTTTAAAAGTTTTTAAAATGGTATCACTCTTGGAAGAACTGAAAATGGAACTTAAAAAACAGAAAGAAGATGCTCAAGAAGGAAGAGGTTTTTTTGGCTTTGTATTTCAATTTTTAGAAATGGAGATCCTGAATTATGAGAAACAACAAGAAATGCCTGTAGAACAAGAAGGGCAGGACAAAGAAGAAACCATCTTCAATGACCAAGTAATTCTATGTGAGGAAAGAAAAGGAAAGGGGGGAAAGAGAGTGAAAAATTTAAGATCTGAAAAAATAACCAAAAAAAAGAATAGTTTGAAAAGTAATTACAACATTAGGAAGAAACAGAAAAGAGGATTACAGAAGAGAATTAGAATTAGAGAGACAAGGGGTCAAAAAGGGAAGGGAGAAGAAGAGGGGGAAGAGGGAAAGGAAAAGAAGTTATAAAGAACAGAAATGGGATATAGAGAAATAGGGAAAACGTGTAAGGATTAAAGGTATAAGCCTATTTAGAAGACACAGAGATAATGGGTGAAAATTTAATTGAAAGAGGGATTCTGCAAGGGTACATAAGATAGTATTGTTATATTAGAAATAGAAATGAACTTAGAAAATATGAAACAAGTGTGATTAAAATGATAGATAAAATACTCATTGTAATATAATGGAATGTTTGTTAATAAATAAATGAAATAAAGACAATGACAGAATGAAATTAGGAAAGGATGAGAACATTTTAATTATTATTAATGAGTTATAAAAATTTAAGTGAAGAGGAATATGAAAGAAATATGGAAAAATTATGGAAATATTATAAGTGTTCCTAAGGAAGTATAATATCCCATTGAAAGATTATAACTAACATTAATGATAGAGCTGAATTGGAATAGAATAAGTATTTTATTTATTATTGTTATATATATACTTTCTCTTTAAGAACCTAGTGTGTATTTTAAGAATGTACCAAGCAGAATTCGACTGGAAGTTATGTGTTATATTAAATGTTATAATTGTAAAGGCATAAATTGAAGTTTAAATAAGAGTTGAATGGAACAAAAATTAAAAGATACAAAGGTGTCATACTCCAATCAGTAACTACAGGGGAAAATATTGTTTAATGAGAAAAGAAAATATGAAATTGAAACAGGACAGACAAAAGTACAAATATAATGATTAGAAATATATTGAAACTTAGAAAAAGATATATATAATTGACTTTAGAAAGGAATGAGATAATTAAAAGCAAGGTTAAAAAAACTAAGGGAAGGGAAAAATTATTGAGAAAATGTTAAAATAGTAAGATATGGAATAGAACACAAAGATGAATATGAAATTGAGTTTGTGTCTGTATGGAGAAGTGATAACCCGGGACCATGCTATTCTCAAACAAAGAAATTTTACTTGTATTATGTTTTGTGAAAACCCAAATAATTTTTTTACAAAAAAAAGAAAAAAAGAAAAAATATTTTCGAATTTGTGGAAGCACAGTATCTCATTAGATTCAGTAAGCAATCTGACTGTTCAGATTTGGTGCAACTCTAAAAACATGCTATTCTTGTAAGAATTACCGTATGTTTTGCCCCATAAGATGTACCTGACCATAAGATGCACTCCTGTTTTTGGTCTCTATTTTCGGCTTCCATGAGCCCCATTTTTGGCCTCTGTGTGCCCCATTTTCAGTCTCCACGCATCCTGTTTTTGGCCTCCGTGTGCACCATTTTTGGCTTCCACGCATTCTGGTTTTGGCCTCCACGCATCCTATTTTTGGCCTCCGTGCGCACCATTTTTGGTCACCGCACATCCCATTTTTGGCCTCCTTGCAGTCCATTTTTGGCCTCCATGGATTCCGTTTTTGGACTCCACGCATTCCATTTTCAGCCTCCACATGTCCCGTTTTGGGCCTCCAAGCATCCTGAGAGGCCAAAAATGGGGCATGTGGAGGCAAAAAATGGGGTGCGCAGAGACTGAAAACAGCCAAAGGATGGGGGCTGGCAGGTGGGCCAGGCTTTGGCAATATATATTCCATAAGACGCTGAGACATTTCCAGCCACTTTTCAGGGACAATGAAGTGCGTCTTATGGAGCAAAAAATACGGTATATTCAGATCAAACCAACAGTAAATATGCACAGACCTGTAATTATTAATAAATGTAATAAAATTACATAAAATGTGTTATTGTAATAATAGGAGTACAAATAACAGTGGCAATCACCAAATTTTGTACTAAATGTCCATTGTAGATAGGACAGATATGAGTCATGGGACAAAATCAGGCAACCCGGAAAGATGCATCAGATAAAAACAGCAACAGATAGACAATGTATTCTCTACCAGGGAAATTCTTTAAAATGGGATAAATGTGTATCTTCCTTGCTTCCCAAGAAAGCAACAAAGGAACATTCGGCTTAGAGATTCCATAGAGCCATCGCTATCTTGTGTTTTATTTATGTAATACCGCTGAAAACAGATGTTTTTATATTGCTCCCACAGAACTGTAGAAGTTAGTACATCCAACTTGGCCAAGGTAAAAGTCCACAAACTTTCAAAATTAGAATTGAAGAGAGATATAATGATGGCACATGCCCATTTGAGAAGAATCTATATGCTGTAGGGTTGGATAGTAGGCTTAAACCCATCTGAAAATCAATATCTCAGGTATGTTGTTATTTCTTGGCATTTTCAAGTCCTAAAGTCCTAAAAGACTTTCCAAAGAAAGTCCAAAGGAATAGAGCTTGCTATTAGTTTTTGTTAGGTTGATTTATAAAATGTCTGAAAAAATGAATTTCAACCAGAAATTAAGGAAAACCGGGCTCTGGCACTTACAGAAGCCAAACTTTAACCATAAAGTTCTTCATGCATTATGAGATTATGCATTATGCATTCTTCATGCATTATGAGACATATTGGTTTTAATGAATTAACTACTTAGAAGCAGGGGGAAGGACAGTAAACAATGAAAGTAACATCTTCCTTTTGTATGAATATCATAGACATCCCATATAAATATCAAAGGGGCATAACATATAGCACAGTGTGCTTTTGTCTCTACATCTCCTTTTTTGTGGCAACTTGAGTGTAGCCATAGTTAAATTTTTGAAACTTTTGAGGCAAAAAGCCAAAAAGGATAGGTCACTTTCTATCTATGATTGTCTCGTCCACTTATTTTAAATTTTATAAACATTACACATATCCAAATAAAGAGATGTTGAAAATACTTTTTAACAACATCATTGTGTTATTGCTATGCTGCCTACTAGTTTCCAACAGCAGAAAAAAAAATATTTTGGCAGCTCCCAGCATGTTTCTCCCCCCCCTCCCCCCCTGTGGTCAACCCAAATATTTTAGCTGTTTTTTTAAGAGGATGTAAGGCTCTTGGATCAATTGGATCAACCACTCAGAAACACAAAAAAAAGTATGTGTGGGGTTATCTAATGGCTTACATCTTCTCTTTTAATCTTATCAATTTCATTAACCTTCAAAAAAAAGATTAGCATTAGGGTTACGCCTTGCCCTTTCTAATGATGTTCTGACCACCCCCTTTACAGACCTGGCTGCAAGTAAATTGTAAGTCTAAATTGTCTACAAAATAAATTCATATCAAGAGTCTTAAAAACCACAATATCCTTACCCAACTAATTCTTTTTTCTGGGTATCAGGTTCCAGTGAAATCTTCTCATTTGATGCATCATTCTTAAATCCTGGAAGATTCTGAAGAGACAGATGGGTTTCATTTGTTGCAACCTCCTCTTTAGCATTGGTAGGACATTCTTCTAAAAATGGTAAGGTTTTAGATTTTGCTGCTTCCTAAAATATATCAAAATATTCAAGAATTAATGCATGATGCAAGCACTTTTATTTCTAAATTACAATATAGTGCAACATACAAGGAACGAGTCTCAGGAAGAGCAATTAGAAAACAATTTTCACTTCTTAAGACCCTGACATATTTATCACTTGACATAAAGAAACTTGGCTGACACCAAAGTCATAGGTAGGTGTGACTTTTCACAGATCCATGTTGTACACCAATTTGCTCATAGATCATCACCATTTTACAAAATGTTCTCGTTACAAATTAGCTTCCAGCTGCACTTCAAGAGACTGTTTGTCATCTATAAAGCCCTTAATGAATTAGGGCCTAGTTACTAACAGAACTGCCTCTCTCTGATCATTTCTGATTTTCCTACTGACAGGGTTGGCATGCTCTATGTCCAATCAACTAAGCAATATATGCTCTGGGTCCTCAGAACCATGTGTCTTCTGTTATTGGTTCTGATCTTTGAGATATGCATTCTGAAGTTTACATAATCCCAATCTGCTGTCTTTTAAGAAAGCTTTAAAAATCCTGGTCTTTTGATAAGCCCTGAGCCAGAGTATTTTGTAAAATGTACACAAATACACATACATACATAGATAGACACATACGTACAGTACATACGTACATACATACACACAATTACAAATCCATAAATTTAAATGGTCTTAAAAAAACCTTAAATTGTTCCAATTGGATGGCTTATAAATTTTAAAAAATAAATAAAACAAAGTCACATTAATTACAAACAAGAAAATACAAAGTTAAAATAATCTTACGCTTAGATTAGAGGTCTCACTATATTCACTTTCACTCTTTTCTGCAGAATCCAGTTGGGGTTGTACTGTGTTTAACAATTCCTCTCTGTCTGATGCATTATCTAAGTTCTTTTTACATCTTGATTGTGAATTCTCCAATGAATGCTCTATTTCAACAGTATTATCTTTTTTTTCTTCCTGAAGACTGGAATCTCTGATTAACGAAGGGGGAAAAAATTAACCTATGACTAGAAAATTTAGAAAAACACAATTTTTGTGTTCATGAAGATTTCAGACTTTGACATATAAAAAAAATTATAGAAATTAACATTTAGATAGCAATATCCCACTATAGAAATATCTAATTTATTAAAAAGAATTACGATAATTTTCAGACAGACAAAAGTTGCAATTAATTTGTTAAGAGCCTAATAAATCTACAAAATGGTTCCATGTAGCTTGTAACTAATATTGAGAAGACTCTGGAAGCCAATTCTACTAAAGCATATTTGGTTAAAAAAATATCCAACTCGAAGCTTAAAAAGGTATGTCATTCTCATAAGCTCTGTGGTTGAGCTCTTGATTCAAAATTGCATCAAACTGTACTTTTGAATGCAACAAAAATGAGTAATTGTTATATTTTTAATTGGAGAATGAACAAATTTCTTAATAATATAAATCAAATGTAGTTTTCATTCTGACAGATTCCACTACTTAATACTGGACTTCTGGAATACTTTTTGAGTGTCTTTTTCAATAACCTACCCAAAGTTAACTGTAGCCTTCAGATGACAAAAAATGATATGCTCTTCAGGTAAGTCTAGAGTGACTCCTGACTTGGAGCTTCTGCTACTTAGAATAACATTTACCCTAGCTTAGAAATATAATTGGATTTGAATTGCTATAAGAGAGACCCTAAACTCCCTTTGTTGCAGGAAAAGGGGATTGTTAGTAATATATTTTATCCAATCTGAATCTTTTGGTACCTGAAATATTATGTAGAGCATTTCCATTATTTAAACTCATCATTAGACACTATATACCCAACATGGATAAATAATTCATGCATTATAACAAGGGCAGGCCTCCTTTTTTGTTGGGTTGCAATTCCCATTTACCATTATGTGAGGTTGATGGGAGCTGAAATACAACATTGAGAGTGTTAAGAACTGAGAATCACAAGTGGGAACCAGCAGGTCCTGCTCTAGAAAGAAGTATTATGTAATTGTATAACAGCTGTGTCCTCATGCCATTAAGAGGCCAGCCATGTATCCATTAAAATAAAGAAAATACTGAGAAATTAAACTGCAGCAGAATCGGTGGTACAATCAAGGTGGCAAGTGCAGATGCATGTTAGAATCCAGGACTCTTTTATAAGTAGGCAATACTGTACACATTAAAAAGGGGCAGGGTTTTGATTACTTGATTGCCCTGATCATTAACTGTTTTGACCACCCTGCTGCAGATTTCTCTGTGCTAGCTACAAAAGATGCCTACAATTTCTGCACTGCCATAGATGACCCACTATTGGGTTAATTTTTGAGGCAATGAAACATGTAGCTAGCTGAGTCATGTACTCTTCCACAAAATTAAGCCAAAGACGGAAAAAAGATTTATGGGTATAGAGGCCTGAGCCTCAGTGTGAAGCTGACACAGCTGAGCCCCGGGTTCCCAGCCCTGTGCTCTATATGGGCTATGTCATAAAGATAGATATTACGCATTTCCCTGTGAAAAAAGGGTTTTAGGTGTTTGTTTTCCATTTTTAAAATAAAATACACCTACTTGCTGGCAGGAATTACCACATCCTTTGTAATATCAAGTGACAAAGAGGCATTTTGTAGTGTGTAACTTTCAGACTCTATTGGCTTCTTCACAGGAGATTGGTTTGAATATGCTCCACCTACTTTCTCATTGCTGACAACTGTTCTTTTTTCTAATGCCGCACATTGTGGTGTGTCAGCTTCATGAGCTGTTGCATCCTAGAAAAAGATTAAATTTCTGAGGTATAAGGGTTTACAGAAAAAAATGGTTTACAGAGAATGCAAAGTTTTTAAAAGTCATTAATTCACATATTAGATAATACAAGTCCTGTATTTTTTTTAAAGGACAATGAAACAGCAACAAAAGAAAAACTCTTATCAGAGGTGTTCGGATTCCCAAATTGCTGTACTGAACTGCTGGTGGTAAGGAATTCTTCTACTATGAACTTAATGCAGTTCAAAAACATATAGCACAACCATAGTAATGCTGATCTAAGAGAAAGAAATCCAACATATATGAATGAAGTTTTTATATTGACTGCAAAAGTAGAGAGTATGATTGTCAGCATACATAAAGGCCATCTTCTATTCAGTTGAACCTGTTCTCCGGGATTCTAAGTTCCAGTCGTAGTAATCAAGAGTTGGGTCAATCTATAGGAGTTGCTTCTAGTATATCAATATATGCTTCACAAACAGGTAGTCCTCAACTTATAACCATTCATTTAGTGACCATTTGAAGTCACAATGGCACTGAAAAAAAGTGATTTACAAGTGTTTTTCACATTTATGAACATTGCTGCCAGAATGGGACAATTCACCATAGCAAACTCACTGAGACCCACTTGCCACAGAACAGCATGATACATGACAATTTGCCACCGGAGAATCGAACAAACACAAAAGTTAAATTAATTTCAGTGGAATCATGGCCAATAATAACAAAATAAAGAAATCAATCCAGAAATACAAGTGTTACAATAATTTTGATGAATATGTGATTGTCAATAAAAGTAATTGAATAAAATGATTAATACAGTGTTGAATTGTCCTGCCACGATTGTCCCACAGTGAGTTGGCCACAGTGAGTTGGCCATGGTGAGTTGGCCACGGCAAATTGGCCATGACGTGTTGGCTGTGGCGAATTGTCTAAAGCCTTGCAGTATCTCCATGGTCACATGACCAAAATTGGAGCACTTGCAACTGGCATCTATTTATGACATTTGCACAGTCCTAGGATAATTGTGATAACCATTTGTAACCTTCCTACCTGGCTTCCGACAAGCAGTCAATGAGGGAACCCAGATTTGCTTAATGACTGTATGATTCACCTAACACCAGTACTGATTCACTTAACAACTATGGCAAAAAGGTTATAAAATGGGGCAAAACTCATTTAACAACTACCTTTCTTAACAATGGAAAATTTTGGTTCAATTGTGGTCATAAGTCAAGGACTACCTGTAATGGGTACATAAGCAGAACAAACTGACTTATTAGAATAGACTAAACTACCATTGTATAGCACATGCCTTAAATACAGAGAAACTGTACCATGGTTTAAGAAAAAATTCAAATTAATTCAGTGAAGGCATCTTAAACAATACATATTCCATAGAAGGAATGTTTTATAGGTTGATACCTAATTTATTCAGTCTTTGACAGTTATTGTTTTACATACAGCATACTTACAGTGGTATTATTTAGAAGTTGACAATCATTACATTCAGTCTGCATCACAGTCTTTTCAGTGATTACTGCTTCACTTGCTAATTCAGTGCCTGCTTCGCTTGGTTTTTTTACTGTCTCAGTGCTTCTTCCAGGTAATTCTTGCCTTCTAGCAACCCTTCCTAAATTCAGTTTTGGTCTCTGAAATCGTCCCCTTGCTAATAGTGCAGGTTTGAGAACAGTTTGCTTGCTACTTTCTTGTGAGGTAGATTGGTTCTTATTCCTAAAAGATCAACCGTGAAAAGGCAATAATAAAATGAAGTAATTCCTAAAGATGGCAATCAATTCTACTATTATTATTAGTGAATAAGGAAGAAAATCCTTGCCCAAATTCTGAGTTCTTCTCCCCATACTTACACAGATTCTGCATCCAAGCCCTGGCAATGTGTTTTAGTAATCTCAGCTGGGTTGATGCCAGGTGTATCATTCTGCTCAATTTCCTGAGAATTAAATAATTAAAGAATGAATGCTGTACCTTTTCAAAACAAATCACTCTAATCAATAAAATTTAGAAACACTTTATTTTACCAGCTTTCAAGTCTATATTCTAATTAGCTGGCATCTTAAGAATATTAATTTTCACTCATCTCAAATACATGTCATACATTTGGGAAAAATTACTAGTGAGCATTCACAAAGCAAACAAACATCAAACTGGCAGATGAGACCTTTAAATACATTCCATAACTTGCTATTCCTCATGTTTTATTACTATTCTTGCCAAACAAAGAAGTATATTAAATGGCAAGGAGAACTTAAAATGTACAAAAAGTATAAATATTAACCAATGTATTTTGATTATTATACATTTTTCCTTCCCAAAACAAATTGAAAATACGTTCCAGACCTTATCTAGACACTAGTTATTTATTAGTTTCTGTTTTTTTAATCAACCAGTTTGTAGAAGCAAGATTATGTAAAATATATTTTTCTCTTTTAAAGAAATAAAGAATTTTACAAAACCTCTGAAAAACAATTTCGAAAACATGATGTGCCCCTTTTTAGTCCTGTTACTATATTGTACATCAGTCCAGAGAAAATAATAATTGAAATAATTATTTCTGCTTTAGTGACACACCCTGCAGGACCCTAACTCAGCATTCATATACATTCAAAAACTGTTGATCGCCATACTCTATACTGATTCAATTTTAACTGATACAGTGGGTTATAAAATAGTTTTATGCAAGAGAGATAATTGAAAGCTTTCAGTTCCTCAGGCAACACATATAAATCCAAACTAATGAATACCTCCCCGCCTGCACCATCAGATCCAGACTTCTTGAGCTCGCCTTGAACAGATGCTTCTCTTCTTCCAGACACGTTACCAATATTAGGTTTAGGTCTTGTCCATCGACCTCTCACTTCCATCTTTCCCACAAAAGCTTTTTGACTCTCTCTACAGAAAAAAACAGTAAAAAAAAACCTGGTTTGAAACCTGCAGTAGAGTAATTTAGATGAAATGGAACATTCAGATAAATCACCATCAATCAATTTCAAAAGGCAGCATTACTTAGAATAGCTTACATCCTGCAACAATAACTTTACTACATCAAACATCTGTCTATTCCAAGTCCTTGGTAAGGACTCAATAGACAGATAAAAATGCCAAATCTAATCTACATGCTAATTTGCTGACTGTGTGACAAACCCTAATAAATTACTTACTCTGTTACTCTTATGACATCACTGCTTGCATTGCATGTTTCCTCTGTAGTAAATCCAGAAATGGAAGCAGCTTTATTTTCTACAAGTGACTCAGAAGAAACTTTAACAATTAATGGGTTAGATGCTAGAGGTTCTATTTTTTCAGATGTTCTTGTTAAGTCTGATTCAAAGTTCTGCAGCTGCACCTCCTGTGTGGGCTTTTCAGGAATTGCCCTATCTGTTTCCCTGCAAATAAATTGGAAATATCCATTTTGCACGTAAAACACAGCCTCTGAAAACTTAACCAGGATAAAAAAGGAAAGTCCCTACGTATGCATTTTTCTTCAAATAACTGATCCCACCCTTTTGCTATATCACAAATTGCCTTAATTCTTAAACTGTCATATAGAAAACAAAGCACTTTGGACTTGTTTGGAAGCCATTCTATCCCACTTCATGTTGGGGGAATGTTTTCAGTTGGTTCTGGGAGGAAGAACAACTTTTACTCACATGATTTCTTCACCACATATTTGTTTCTTTACCATGTTCTGATTTTTATCCAGTTTATCTCTTACAGCTACTTCATTCTGCAAAGCAACCAAAATAGCATGATCTCATTATGAAATTCACAACAATTTATTTATATCTTGCATTTAACTTTCATCAACTTTGATTCATCAACCACAACGGTTAGACTCATACACTAACATACACTAAATAACAAATGAACAATTATGATGCAATGTATGAACCAGGTCTATGTATGAAAAAAAGAGTAAAAAGATAAATAAAAGATTGAAAGAAAGTGAAATGATGCCAGAAATAACTGGAGGATGTCCTATCAAATTAGCGATGGGACGTTTTTAATCAATCCTAGTCCAATCATATTACAGCCAATAATACCAAGAATTTGGCTATATACCTATAAGTACATGCAAGCCCAGAGCTTTCTCACTTTCTGTCTCCAAAAATAAAGAGCCCTTGTCAGAACCAATATCAATATTCAAATATTTGGGGTCACTGACTTTGCTGGAATGGAGCACAAGTCTTTAAAGTGATGTGTTTGTAATATAGATTTAATATAGATACTCCTCAAATAAGGAGAATTAGCAAGCTTTAACACAGAAAAATTAATAAATATTTTACCTGGGCTTCAGTGGATTTTTCAAAATCTTCTATATTTTCTTTTGGAGTTATTTGAGACACTGAATGCTGCTCAACATTGTGCTCAGATGTAACTGATGAAACATCCTCTTGTTCTGGTTTATTTTTTTGAATACTGAAAATAATATAATATATAGAAAATCTATATTTTTCCTTTTTTTTCTCTAACCTGTGAAGAACTAGTGGCATTTCTCTCTTCATATAATGTGTAAGCTATGAAACAGACTAATCCTAAAAAATTATACAAGCAAGCAGAGTGGCTCTATATTTGTTCGGTGAGCTATTTCACATTTTTATGTCCTTACTAATATATAAACCAGTTCAATATATTCTCATAGTAACAATCAAAAAAGAAAATCATCACTTTTCATAGTAATGAAAAATCAAACTCACAGGGAAAAAAAGCTTCATCTAAAATAACCAGACTGTCATAGCTAGAGAAAAAGTTAACAGAGAAAAATTTGTTCATAATGCACAATAGTCAATTCATTGTTTATTAGAGGCACGGCAGATTTCTCCTCACCCAAATAAAAAGTAGTTTTCAACATCCCTAAATTCTAGCAAGACTGAAATTCATATACAACTTCATCAACAACATGTTGAAAACAGCATAATTTACTGAACTAAATCTGAATATATTGTTGTTTCTTAAATTACACAAAAAACATTTAAAATTAAGCTACACAGGAGAAAGTCTTATAAAGAAAGTTATAAAAATGTACTGTGCTTTACAAGATTGCTTTGATACAGTATAATACACATAATTTATACCTATGGTCTTTTTCCGCTTCTTCATTTAATCTGATAAAGCATTGTAGTTGTTCTTTATCCATGATAAGAGTTTCATCAGGGATTGTTCTATTAGGGACTTCCAGTTCATCACCAACTTCCCCAATGCAACTTATCTCATCATTAGCCGATATATTTTTCCCTAAGAACAGATTGTAAATTGAATTAAAGTTCAGAAATTAGCAAAATCAAGACATAATATCTCAGTGGTATAACAATAGCATTTCAAAAGCTTACTTTTCTTTCTAGTCCTTTTTTCTTCCATCATTTCTGTTGGAATATTTCTTTCTTCAAGAAGATTGTCTGTCTCCTGTTCAGAATCTTTTTTCTTTCTTTTCCTTTTCTTTTTTGTCACTGTTGATTCAATAACTGTTTGCTCTTTTGCCTGTTCCAAAATGCCAGGAGATTCTTCATTCTCCTTTTCAGCTGTTTCAGCATCTACTTCTATTTCCATGTCAGAACTTCTACCATCCTGATGTTCATCCGGACCATGGTTAGACTGTCCATTTACAACTTTATCTATCAAAGTATACAATATTAAACAAAGGTATTCCTAATAATGAAAAATAAACTTGTTCAAACATCATGAACAATATGGAGACATTCCATTTTCTGCTCCTTATAAACTCACAGCATCTTCTGCTCTCCTAATGTCAGTTACAGAAGTGCTAATTGTTTTTAGTTATACAGAAATTTCCTTTATTTTTCTCAAGATTATATATCTATGTAGTATAAAACGCTTTGTGTGTGTTTGATACTTTGCAATCTTTAATTGGGTATAACGTTGCATCATAAAGCAAAACTTTGTCAACAAAGATCCCCCAAATTGACATACTAAATGCCAGAACCCTCACTCTGGAGGAAATTAAATTTGTGGATTATTTTTTTTTTGCCACTTCAACACTACTACCATGCTGCCACAGTCAGTAGCAGTCAGGTGATCCTCGTTTTCAACAATAACCTGACAGTTTCCCACAAACTGTCTCATATGAGGGAGGAACTCATATGATTGCTGATACCCCTACGCTCCCTGCCATCTCCCTATTAGCAAAAGTTTTGCCTGTGGGGAAATTGCAGGAAGAAAGACAATGAAGAAATCATCCAGTCCTGCTGCACTTATATCATGCCAATCACTCATTTACTTCCTTTTCCACCAGACAGCAGCTAATTACCTGCCTACTGGGAAAGGAAGAGAAAGGAAAAAGGAGGGAGGGGGAGGGAGGGAGAGGGAGGGGAGGAGGAAAAAAGGGAGGGAGGGAGGGAGGAAGGGAGGAAGGGAGGGAGGTTAGTTGGTTTTTGACACTGGCTGCCAACTTCACCCAAGGAAACTTAATGGAGAAGCCAATAGGAAATCAAGTCATTCCCACTCCCGCTGATAATTTTGCCTATCCATGTTTTTCTGTTTAGGTAAGAGAAAATTTCTGAAATGATAATCCAAGGCACAGGTCGTCTGATATTATATACAAAATATTTCATCAAAAATTATTTGGATCATTGAAGTAGAATCAAAGTATTCTGCTTTTATCAATAAAAATGCAAGGACTTATCTAGGCAATTGCCAAGAATGAAGACCGACTCAAAGGCACACGGACACACAAAAATCAGTGTATCTTCTAGTTCAAGTGTCCTACAACTACTGTCCTTGTTTAGAAAGGACAGAATGCGACATAGCAAAGAGAAGTTATTCATGACTTCGCCAAGCATTTTCAGTATTATTAAAATTACCTTTTCGCTTTTTCTGAGATCTCGGTGTATTTCTCTTATTGGAATTTTTTTCTTTTTGTTGCTGACATGCAGCATCTTTATCTTTCTTCTTCCTCTCATTTTCCAGGACCTTCTCAAGGAGTTTTGTAAAAAAACTGAAGTCAAAAGGCCTTTTTTCTTCTGTCAAAAAAAGAAATGATGTGATAAGTTATTGAACATAAATTATACTTTATTAAATGGAATACGTGAAGTAGCTATACCATTAACTTTATTTGTTTATTAAAATAAGTCTTTGCTTGTTTAAAAAAACATGTAACAGTGAATGTGTGACTTTTAATATGTCAGGATTTAGAAAAGATTTGAACAATTTAAAATATTTTGTAGATATTACAGATATTACAGATAAGGAAGACTATAGTACTGTGTTTGAAAAATGTTACGGGTTAAATCCAATGGTATGTTGGAGGCCATTCCTACTGATAGACTAGAAAAAATGGTCTTATTTTCAGCCTGGATTCCTCATACTACAAGGTCAAGGGTCTGATTTTGCCAGAACATGAAAAATTGCAACAAGAAGAAAAAATTTTCTCCTCAATTATCAGAGTTCTACCCACACTATATTAATTAATTTCAAGAACTGAAATAAGCCCTTCACTATGAGATTCATACTGTGAAGATGCAGTCCAATGAATTTTTACTAATACATATATAAAATGTTTTCAAAGTCAAAAAATATCATATACCAATACTTACTAAATGCTTTATCTATTCTCCATCCATTGACTTTTTCTTCCCGCTTAAATTTATTCTGAAAACAGAAAGTTGTAACATGATAATTACTTTATTGAGAAATGATATTAGTTTAAATCCATATTTAATCTTACTGAGAGAATGAAAGGAGTGGCTTGTGTATCTTTATTCTCCGGTATGTTTTCTAGATAATAGAGACAGAATTTTTAGCATCCATAAAGTAAGTTTACTTGAACAAAAACAAAGTTAATGCTTTGAATTCATATCAGAAAAAAACTCTTTATGATTAAAACTGCAATCCAATGAAATATACTTGTTAGGGATAACATTGTTTACCCTAACTGGTTTGGGTAAAAAATAATAAATAAGTTATCATGGTTTGTTGGTCAAAGTGTGTGTAACTTTAACTACAAGAATGTAATTAAGGGTGTGGTTGTAAAAGCACCATAAAAGAAGCAAGTCAATTGCAGCTCTCTCTCTCTGGCTTAATGATCCCTAATTACTGGATGGATTGATGACTGCGTTGTTCCTTACTGGAACGGAGGAGAGAAAGGAGTCAACGGAGAGAAGAGATAATACGGACTGATTTATTGTAAGTGAACTGACATTGGCTATTCAACACGGACTTTGCAAATTAAGTATCCCCGACTGGACTGACTGAAATGATACATGACTAATAGACCGTTTATTCTGACTATGCTATAATTCCTAATGGAATAAACTATATTTTTGATAGCACAAGCGTATCTGTATTTTTTTACTGCGTGTTAACTAAAATACAAACTTATCTCACACATTTACCTGTCTGCCTATCTGACTACACTACACATTCTGTTTAGTTTGTTTTCCTTAACACTTGTTGGGGAATTCAGGCTTAACAATACTGATAAATAGACATTAGTTCTATTAGAAATAATAGTCATAGTAATAAAAATGACAACAGTATGATAAGTAATAAGAAGCCTAAAAACAGTTAATCTACATCAAAAGACTGCCTGGTATATTCTCTGATATCGCCAGAGGCAGATTAAATTGAAATGAGGTAAAGTAATTTATAGTAAGTTACCATAAAATATTAAATACACAAGCTAAAGAATATCTTCTTGTGCCTTTTAATTTTTTTCTTGAAAATATTTACCTTGATTTCTGTTCTTGCTCTGTGAGGAAAAAGCTGACTAATCATTGAGAAGTCAGTTCCTACCATACTTATTGCTAAGAAAAACATGTCTGTTTCTGTAATTTAAAAAAAGATAAAATATGGTTAAAGCAATTGTCATTTCAACATATCAGTGTCGATCATATATCACTATAAACAGATCACTATATCACTATAAACAGATTATAGATTAATCTAAACCTCAAAGTATCATTCTTTTCATAATCATCAAAAATGCTCTGTGTTTCACAGAGGAAAACTACATGACCTGCCTTACTTAGAACTTCATTCAGAATCTGGTTGTCACTTTTAAGTACTGCAGAAAAGATGGAATATCCAGGCATCTGAGCCTTTTTGCATACAAAGTAAATAATGTACTGTTGAATTATCTCCTATTTTTAAGTCACATCAGCACCAACCATATGTGTTACATGAATTGTACATTTCAGTAAGAGTTGAAGAGGCCCTTTGGTCATTCCCCAAGGTTTCAGTTAATTGAAGAATAACTGAACTTTCAAAATATCCCAAACACAAAGGACTTTTTAAGTTATTCATTCCACATCTTTGCAAATGAACTATATCCCACCAAATTCACAAGCTAGAGCTGGAAATCACACACTAATCCTAATATTTATTTATGAAAAATTGCCTGATTGTTTACCAAGTGTAAATCACCTGATGAATTATTTCAACAAGCATTATTTCTTATTCCATATAATTCATTAAAGGTTCAGGAAATTGGCAGTCTGAGATATTGAAGAGTCTCTAGTCCTTTCTGAGCTTGGTTGTCTACTTCCTGTGCTTTGCTTGAGTGTGGGGTTTACTCCCTGTTTATATTCAGCAAATAGAACTGATGATGTTACCTACTCGGGTAATGAAATGTTTTCAGAATAGCAACCAAAGCTCAGAGAGCACCAAGTCCAAAATTCAAATCTTACCTACATATATATTTTTCTATTGATATCTGATTTTGGGGCAGGAAATATAATTCATGTATATTCTTGCAATCTGTAAGTATCTATTAAACTGCATATATCCTTCACTGACACATACTGTAAGGTGCATATTATACACCCTAATATGCTTCTATGCCTACAGCACTAAATTATACACACCTTTTTCTGACCATGGTCTAGTATAATAGCTTTTCCTAAAGCTTGAATATGTTGTTGTGGAACCACGCTCAAAAATGGGATCATTTTCTTCCACTACACACTGTCCTTTTGTCCTGAAAACCTCTACAGTTAAACTAAATAGGAACAACAAAAAGAAAATAATTATATAAGAAATGCCATAAGAAGCAAAGTCATCTTAGGAACAATTGTCTTGCTAATAATGGAGAAGATTTGCAACCTGTGTTGAAATACAGGTGGTCCTCAGCTTACAACAGATCATTTAATGACTGTTCAAAGTTACAATGGCACTGAGAAAAGTGACTTAAGGCCATTTTTCACACTTATGACCAATGCAGCCATCCCCATGTGATTTACATTTGGATGCTGCTTCATATTTATGATGGCTGCGGTGTCCTGGGGTCTTGTGATCCCGTTTTGCGACCTCCTGACAAGCAAAGTCAATGAGGAACCCAGATTCACTTAACTAAGTTGTAAAATGGGGCAAAACTCGCTCAATACATTTTTCACTTAACAACATAAATGTTGAGCTCAATTGTGGTTGTAAGCCAATGACCACCTGTACAGCAAAATATATAAATGTCCAAGAAAGACCGAGAAATTGATGAAATATTTTTTTTGCCCTCAGTATTGCTAAAGCAGCTCTTTAATATTTAGTTTTACTTTACATTATCTTTCCATGACAAATAAATTAGATGATTATGAATCTCTCCCTCCAGACACAGGACAATGATTACATGTATAAGAAATATTTTGGGGGGAGGAAATACATAATTGTCCAGTTGAAGATCTTTCCAAATTAAGTACCAGAAGCTCCAATGGAATTTGCAATATAAGTCACAGGATATAAATCTTAAAAAGCAGAATAAGTGGATAAATTGAAGGCAGGAATTAATAGCTGGTTTTATTTATAAACTGTCAATCCTAATGAAGTCTTACCTCAAGCACCAAAATATATTGACCAATATTAAGCACTTCTATAAATGGACACCAATTTTATAATGCAAATTGACTGCAAAACCTAACCTTTCTTCATCCAGAATAATTGAGCCATCTTCTGCAACTTTCACCCGAGGGACTAAAAGAGAGCCATCATTTTCCCCTCCTCCTCCTCCCTGTTCTTCTTCATCATCATCATCATCTTCATTTTCATCTTCATGATCAGCAACTATTCTTTCTTCAGGCCTGAAATTTGAGGAAATAACAGTTCAAATAGCACTAAGCTCTTTTCATATTTCCTTTTTTTTAAAAAAGCATCAGTACAAGAATCATTACATCCATCACATTTTTTTTGTTGGAGTATAACTTTCCTCAGGGTATATGTTCCTATTCCTTACCCTAAGAAACCTACACATAAAAGATTGCATCAGAACCTTACTTAATAATTGCATATTTATATCAATATAAACTTAATACCACCAGTTCTAAATTATGTCCTGGGCACTGGATAATAGAATGGGCAATACCTTTCATTCTTTAATTGACCTCCTCTTGATTGCAAATGTTTCTTTCCTCCATTAAACATAGTATGGAATTATTTATGCATTAATACTCAGGTACTTCTAACACAGCACTCAAAAGTTGGGTTAGGAATGCTACCTCAGAATTAAATTAAACTTGCTTAAAATAATGGTTACATGCTTAAAGTAGCAAAATAATAAGAGGAGGATGCAATTTTATGTATACTTGCCATCTTAATATAAAGTAATAAAGGCAAAGAAAGATAGAGAGGCAGTGGAAGGAAAGAGAAACAGGGAGGGAGGGAGGGAGGGAGGAAAGAAAGAAAGAAAAAGAAAGAAAGAAAGAAAGAAAGAAAGAAAGAAAGAAAGAAAGAAA